TTTTTTTTAATTTGTCATTATAGCCATGTTTACCTATTATATGATACAACGGCATGTCATACTACTACTACTACTACTACTACTACTACTACTACTACTACTACTACTACTACTACTACTACTTTGCTGCCATCTAGTGGCTAAAAATGGTACTGTTCAAATTGTTTCAGTCAGAATGAATGAAAACGGTCATATCTCAGCAAAAATTGGTTTATAAATGTGGGGAGAAAATCCATAAATATGTCGCTTTGGGCCTAGAAGTCGCAGGGCATGTAAATTATGCAAAAAACCCCAAACAAACTGCGACTTATAGGCTGAAAGATACGGTAAGCACACAGACACTATTGTTACATGGTCGCCTGTCTTTCTTGGCAGTAGGCAATACATGTAAAGACCATGACCCTTCCAGACCAGGTAAATTTGAAGAGGTTGTGGCAGTTTTAAGGAAATGTATACAAATATACCTTGAACTTGGTCCAGAGGAAGCGTGAGGTTTTTCTCTGCGGGTATGTACTTCAGTACCACCGTCAGCTCTCCTTTGTACTGCATCGTGGCGTCTATACTGCTCTCCACCTACACATGAAAATAAATAACCACAAACCTCTGAAGCTTCTCCACAGGTTGGATAAGGATGATGAGCAGTGCTGACTGAGGCTCCTACCCTGGGCTGCAGAGAGTACCACTCCTCTATCTGAGAGTCAAACTCCCACGAGTCGAAGGTCAGCTCCACCTCACCCAGGAAGCTGTTGTATCCAAAGCGGTCGTGGTGCCACACAGACACCTGCAGGGTCCGAGTCTCCAGCTGCGAGCGGCTGATCACATACTGGAAAACAACAAAACACCAGCTCAATCAGGCTTCATGATGAAAAGACAGATTTAAACTTTTTGAGTGTTACTTTTCTAACACAGACCCTCAGGTTCTCATTGAAAATGGGGTTAATGGTATTGGGTTTGATGCTAGTCTTCCTCTTGCTCTGCCGTGATGTGTCAGGCAGCAGGTACGTTTTCACATATCTACCACGACAACAAAATGAAGAATACAATTTAACCTTTGACATGAACGTTGTTATCAGAGGTTAAATGTCAGCTGTTGTCATCAGGTGGTGGAAAAACGTTCTTACGCATCCGTGCGCTGCCGCCTCTCGTCTCCCGTCCCCAGATTGTGACATTCTTTCACATGGATGTTGAGGGCGCCTGTTTTATAGTTGTAGCCGATGTTCAGGAGGATCTCGCCGCTCACCTTGGCGTTGCCATAGTCACCAGTCTCGCTGTACATGCTCATCATGCTGTTGATGCTGCTCTGTGAGGCCAATACGAGACATCAGGGCAGAGGTGTGAGACGGGGAGAAGGCTGGAGGTGTTTCTTTAATCACACGGTGAAATAAATATCTGTAGAGCAGTGGTCTAAGAGAGGGTTAGATCATTTTACATCACTTCCATCATACAATCAAGAGCAAATGCATAATATGAAGTTTTTTTCTAACTTTGTGGTGCCATAATTGGTGATAATGAGCAATACATTAATTTTAAGCTCAAGAAGATGCTTGCAGTTTGGTTGATTTTAAAATGGAGTCTTATTTTTTTCTTCCAACAAACATTTTAAAAGTTAATTTAGAGACTTATTTACACTAAAATGAATTATCTTTATATATATATATATATATATATATATATACATATATATATATATACATATATATATATACATATAT